CTAATTTTGGGATATTTTGGGAAACCAATGCATCTATGATATGCAAGAGCCTGAACCCCTCTCTTTCTTTCGACTCAGCAGGCAAAGGATCTGCAAATTGAGGCGCGCCTTCTCCGATCACCGCGGCATGAGCCCGTATGATAGACTTTCTGAAATTGATTAGGGGCCTCTGTTGCTAGCTCATCGGGGGAACCCAGGCCTACAGCAACAGCTCCTGCGCCTTACTGCCCCTGTCTACACCCTAATGGAATGCTGTCGTAAGCTGGAAGCGCCCCTTAGGCCCACCGGCCCCTTGCGCCCAGCCGGAACATCGGAGAAGTCACCCGAAGCTGCGTATAGCTGCTCAGGATGAGATGATTGGACATCGTTGTGCCTAGTTGTGCTGTGGAGCACTGGCTGTACAGTAGACATACAGAAGGAAACAATCAACCTGGCTTCAAATCGCGCACGTAGCGACCCAAATCCTCTTGCTGGACCTCCCAAATGGAGGCTACTTAACAAGCTTTTCGACGACTGCTATTGAAGACAAAAGGTTTTGGATGGCCAGGATTAGCTCGCTTGGGAAGGGGCTCGTTTCACCCCAACCCAAACCTTACCTATGCCTTGCTATCCCGACCGCATACGTAGTGCGGAAGCCTTCCCACTTTACCATGAGAGGTCCCTCCACAAGGGGTCGACATGTCTGGCTCAAAGGCACGCCACAGCAGCAAGAGCAGCAAAGGCCCATCAAGCAGGTGAGGAGGCCTGCCATGAGGATAATGGCACCTTGGTGTTCACCAAATTTGCAAACGCAAGGACATCGAACAAGCCTACTGTGGGCAAAGGCCCTCTGAAGGCCTAAAGCTCAACAACCATGCTAGGAATCTGCACAACTGCCATAAGGACCTCTCGACATTTCTTGAACGTCCTGTCAATGCCCATGAACCCCTCAGCTATGGGGGGGCTTTTCGCCTGTGGCATTTTTCGCTTTTTGCACCATAATTGCTGGTTTTCACAAATGTCTTCTGATGCCTTCATCTTTTGCCTCGAGGGCCCAAGGTGGACCGGAGAGCCCCTTGTAGTTGCCTTCAACTCTCCTAGGGCGGGACTTTGCAGATGCCGCTCCGTGGAGAATTCTTCATCATTTGTTCACGATTGCTTCATCATTTTTCATCGTTGTTCAATTATGTGCTCCTCATGCTTTAGTGGAGCATGGCTTGAAAAATCCGGGGAAGCGGCGAGTTCCTGTAGCAGTCATCGTGTGATTTGTTTCCTGACGTTTCACGATTGTTCCGCGGCTTGCTGGAGCAGGGGCCTCAGAAATCCAGGACATTGATGGCTATGCACCATATCTGAGAGGTTTTACGTGCTCTTCATCCGTGCAGGGCTTTACCATTGTTTCTCGTCCTGGGTTCATCAGTTGTGGATCATGCTTCTTAATTTTGTCTAGGTTGCTGCCCCTAGGCCCTAGGCAGTAAACTCTCGAACCTAAATCCTAAACCCACATTTTAGATCTATCTAAATGCGGTCATCAACGGTTCTTCGTGAGGTCCGATCTGGGCCGAATGTTTGTAAAGGAGCTCAACAATCGCTCATATAGGGTTTAGGCTTCACTCGAGTTGTTTTACATCCCCGTCGACTCTTTTTTATGTCAAGCATCTGCTGGGGCTACTTAAGGTTTATAGTTTAGGGTTTGGGGTTTACTGATTGGTACTTAGGGGAGTCAGGGTGTGAATATGGGCGCTTTCTCAAGGGGGAGGGAGGCAATCACACAGGGGACAATACAGGGACCGATTCCTGCACTACAAGTACAATTGTTGTATGACCACCACCATGATGAGATCCATTACCTAGACCTTCCATCTATCCTCTATATACCCTTAACACCCAATTCGGGACCATGTACCGCTATGCAAGGTTTCAAGGCCGGCAGCGCGTAGAGATTTAAATGTTTAGCTTGGAAACCTCGTACCCAAATGGCCTAGGTATGTAGCATAGAATCCCTTACGCGGAGTTTACAGACTATAAGTAATACAAATAGTAATAGTACGGCGGCGCTTTTTAAACATCCGGACACGTAAACAACCGAACAGGCGGTACATTATACTACCTCCGCCAAGCATGGCGTCCGGCCGCCCACGATCAACAACATCCTGAATTGAGTCTAAACAGGAAAACATCTGGATCTAAATAGATCTTTTATACTACCTGCGTGGCACGTTGGGGTTGGACGCCCTCCACTTATTTAAAAACTGTCACGTAATAGTAATGGTAATGGTAATGGTACCACTAATACTAATAGTAATAGTAATGATAGCTGATTTCCGGGAGGCAACGGACTCAGGACAGAACGATGAACAAATGATAACAGTTGACGATGCCCAATAGGAAGGAAACGACAAACAACTGATGAAGACATGTCTACGTCAGTCTCTCGCCGCAAGATTCCCATACTACTATGGTACCTTGCGGAAAACGCGACTGGCAGCACTACTTTGACACTGCATGCATCCAACCAAAACTGAAGCCCACAAAGGCTGCTGAATGGAGTCAAAACAATTTGCTCTCCATGAGCCCCCTCGAAATGCTGGAGGCCCTACAGGGTCCTGTTCCATCTCTGCGGATGGCTCCTGATGGGGATAACGCCGAGGAGCCAGTAGCGATCCCACTCCATAGGTGCAACGGTGTAACCAATTTTCCGAAGGAGCTTACTCTACACTCCTAATTCATAACTGCCACACAGACACGCTCACTC